TGCCATGATGCGCATGCATTTTGTAAATACGCATAAACATATGCGCATAACAGATTAGGATAAACTTTTTCTATAAAAAATGTGCATAAACAACGATGGAAACACTTTTACCGCACAAATTTCAGTATGCGCATTGAAAAAGGTCATGTGATTTTGTTAAAAGAGATCATGTGGTGATAAAAATGTGTGTAAATGATCAAACCAGCAGGCTGTGCACACTGTAACGCCATTCTAAAACACCTTCACCATATCAGTATTAGTGTTATTATATTATTAATGACCTCCAGAAACAAGAGCGTCTGTGCTCCGCGTCTGACACCTTCAAACACCGTATGAGACAGTCTCTTCATTATCCATCCAAACTTTTCATTACTACATCGGACGGTAAGAAGAAGCGGCTGCCGTCAGTTCAGGAGGCCAATGAGTTTCTTAAAGCTTATCGGCGCGAGACGACACAAGCTGTGTGAGCAGTACTTATTTTAACTACTGGACACTTGCTAACCTGAGGCTGTTTTTTACTGGATCTGACGTATTGATCTGACATGCGACAATCTGGGCATTTCAGATGATAGTCAATTATACTATTAGAGGTTGGTGAACTATTATTGTTATATGTGTAAAGTTCTATACAAATGTTTCAAGGTGCTTATTTCTACCTATATACCTCGTTTGTATACTCCTGTAATTCTATGAGTCAAATGATGTTCACTAAACATTTTATGACTACTGGGACTCACTAAAGCTCACTTGGCACGGATCATCTTACATTTGTGTGATTTTAAGACTTCCAACACTGTAACTTTCACTGTAACTTTCACTGTAACTTTTTTACCTATCACTGCTTAAGAGAAGCGTTATGTCGACCGTTAATTTTTATACTTGCTGCTTTTGTTAAAGGCTGTTTGTTCTGACCAGTTGTTTCTTTTCATTTATAGGCTTATTTGCATAGTTCTGTGGAGCTGGAGCCCAGTATGCAATTTCATTAAGAGATTGATGTGTAGCAGGTTCTCTGCTATTTAGGTTTTATATTGATAAGTTGATAAGTTTTGTTGTTTTGTTTTTGTTTTATCTTTTCTTTTTTGAAGTACTTCATTTTTCTATCTCATCTCCAACACCTTAAGGGTTACATTTTTTTTCTTCAAGAGACCCATCTTAAAACAACTGATATACAACGGCTTAAAAGAGCATGGGTGGGCCATCTGTATCCCTCAAAGTTTAGTGCGCGAGCAAGAGGTTCCGCTATTTTTATTCATAGAAGTGTCCTTTTTGAGTTGACAGATGTTGTATCCGATCCTAATGGGCGTTATGTCATAATTACCGGCAAACTTCGAGATGTGTCTGTCATTATGGCAAGTATTTATGCCCCTAATTGGGATGACAACATGTTCATATCAAAAAATGTTTCAGCTATTCCTGATATTCAAAACAGACATTATTTCAGGGGGTGATTTTTTTTTTACTTTGTTTGCTTGAGGATCTATCTAAAACTGTCCTGAACAGAGTTCATTAACCAACTCAAATTTTAAACACATTTGCACAACGACTAGGGCTATCTGATCCTTGGAAATCAAAACAGACCACTAACAAGGCCTATTCTTTCTTCTCCAATGTTCATTTTTGCTCACGAATACTCAGGAATAGATTTTTTTCTTGGTAGACAACAGACTTCTTTCCAATAAATCGAGCTGTGAATATCACAGCATCGTAATTTCAGGTCACGCTCCCACTACCGTTCATATAAATTTTTCTCAGTTTACATTTTTTTCTTAACCGTGGCACTTTCCCTTTCGGTTTTTGACTAGAGAGGAATTTAAACAATTTTATATATGTATAAAACATGTATAAGGTGTGCATTGTATTTGAGAACTACATGAACACTTTACAGTTGGTTTTGTGATTGTTTTCATCACAGAATGTCATTAAATGCTAAACTTGCAAACAGAATGAAGCACACAGTTTATTGTAATAATATCAAAATCATTAAGGGTGTGCATTATAATTGAGATTTGCATGGCAGTTTATTTCTGTTACTGATATTTGCCCGTTTTCGACTACTTTTTGGTTAACCTCTAATAAATGTTGCATTGCATCCCTATCACTGCTATCCAGTCCTTAACAATGGCAATCTAAAAATGCTATTTCCGTGTATAAAATTCATGCTATAGATGATCATTTAAAAGAACAACTGTAAATCAATGATCAAGCAGTAAAAATGATATTAAAGAAAATGATAGAAACTTAACCGTTAATGGTTCTCTTTGATGTGTGCATCACTCACAGAAATCAGAATTGAGAGCAATGGGAAGCAACTAAGCATAAATACTTGAACACATGAATACCTGAACACTCCCACAGTCACTGGGAGGAGTTGTGTGTCTTGATGGAGCAAGAATTGCTATTATTAGTTATTTTATTTTTGTCTTTACAAATATTTGATTTCAGCCTGACAAAGGTTTACACAATCTCATATCTAATTGATAAAGAGATTTTCGTGGGGGTAAAATTAATGTGCTTAAGATGAAAAAGTGGTTTCAATCAGTTAGTTTTCATTGCATTAGGGTTGGAACAGAACTGTCAACATGAGTTGAGTTAATTTGCTAATAGCTTTAAAGGGCGCCTGTTTTACCTATTTTTTAATTTTTAAAATAAGATTTTTGTGTGTCTCCAAAATGTGTCTGTAAAGTCTTAGCTCAAAACACCCATCAGATTGTTTATTAGACCTTTTAGAAGTTTGTAATTTTCAGCTTTTGTAGCTGTTTTTGTTGCCTGTGCCTTTAATGCTCCCTGCCTACCGTTTCCAAGTGCTTGTCAGAGTGTGCCTCAATCTCCACCCTCGACTGCGTCAGATAAACAGCACAGTGACAGACATGAAGGAAGCAGATCTCGCGTTACATTTGTGAAAAAAAACTACAGTAAGAAATTTTCCAATGATTATTTGATGTATTTGTTGAGTTGAGTCGATGAGCACGATAGGTCACACACAATGTTGTCTCACACACACACACACACACACGTTTAACTTTGTACTGTTTTTGATATCCGCAATGTTAATGTACAAAATAAACCTGATTTAATGTCCACAAACCAGGATTGAAGCCTCTTCTATTGTAATTTTATTGACATGCGGTTGTGTGATAGACGGTAAAATCGCTGTGTTTCTCAAAACTCATTCTTGATCACATTTGATGATGATTGATGATCACAGAGCGCTGAACAGATCTTTTAATCCCAGTTGCTTTGCACACATCCTGTCTTGTTGATATGACACACGTTAATATGCAGCTGTCAATTAAATCAGTGGCTGGAGAAACAATCACGTTATCGTGGGCCTCAAAACGGGAGGGATTTGGACCCTATTTTAACATCAGAAAAATTTTATTTTAAACCGAGGTCCTGACTCTCTGTGGTCATTAAAAATCCCATTTTTAATGGCCAAATTTGCCCACTGGCCTCTGTCCATCATGGCCTCCTAACTATCCCCAAACCAGTATTGGCTTCATCACTGTCTCCTCTCCACCAATCAGCTGGTGTGTGGTCTGGCGCAAAATATCTGCCATCGCGTCATCCAGGTTGATGCTGCACATTGGTGGTAGATCAGGAGACCCCCCCCCATGTGTAAAGCGCTTTGAGTGCCCAGAAAAGCGCTATATAAATGTAAGGAATTATTATTATGATTATTATTATTATTATCATAAACATTCTTCTCTATGTAAACTGACATTATTATCAGCAATGGTGGGAGTAACGAATTACAACTACTCACGTTACTGTAATTAAGTACATTTTTGGGGTAATTGTACTTTCATGACTAGAATTTTAAGCCTGTAATTTGACTTGTACTTAAGTACAAATTAAGCGGAGTAATACAATTCGTTACTTTTAAAATCACAATTCGTTACAGAGTACTGTAAATAAATCAATATTTCAACCACGCACTGACCAGCATTTCGGTAGCCAATAAAAAAAGCTCATCTTAACGGACCAATAAAGGCCTGGTACATTATTTGAACCGAAAAGCACGTTCAGCCTACTGCAGATTTAAGTGAGCTGACCATCATCATCATACAGTCACAAAGTTATCAATTGTCATATGGAGATTTAAGACAGAAGAAATGAGGAAGAAATAACAGAGGATGAATGCCCATGGCCGTTGGAGCTGGAACTTCATCACGGCTCACACCCGCGTCATCAGCTTGCTGCTCAACGTCGCTAGTGGTAGAACTTTGACGTTTTTTTTCGTTTTGGGCATTTTGTCAGATCCTTTCAAAAAATATTGATCTAAAGACATGACACAGTCTCTCTCTAGCCAGGCATACTGATTTCACTGAGTGAAAGTATATATTTACCGAATATTTGAGCTAATGCCACAGGAGCTCCCTTAAAACGCGTGCTCACTCTATGATGCCATTTTCTTCCCCCCGCTGTATATATTTATGGTGTATGTAATATATTATGCATGTAATCTTTGTACAGATTAAGTGTTATAAATGAAGCCATAAGTACTAAATAGCTAAAAACAAATGATTTGCCAGCTGTTTTATGGTAATGACAATCCCTAATATCCTGTGATGCAAAATGTTCATGTTTTAAATTCATCACAGGCACAAGAGACGAAGCGCAACAATGTTTGTGATTTCCACAGACCTTTTACTCCAACAGCAGTGAGATGTTTGGCAGCGTCAGTGTAAAAGTATAGAGTTCAGTCAGAGAGCACCATCATCACTCTTATCTTCCTCAAACACAACTAAATACAAAACTGAGAGCTAACAAATCAAATGACTACAAAACAAAAACAACATACCTCAATATCAAAATACCTCAGCATAACACAAGCTTTCAACCCAACATCATTTAAGAGACCATCTGAGAAAACAGTCCAATATTAACACCAGTATCCTACGAGCAGTTTGGTGTACTGCATTAAGTCAGATTTACTCTGCGATGCATGCTGGGATTATAAATTAATTCAATGTTCTGTTAAATAACATCATAATAACATTTTATATCATATCAACATTTTAAATAAAAATATTCAAAAATGAGGTTTCCAACACAATCTCCGTACAACAAACAAATGTACTTAAGTGTAAAAGAGGATTTACGGTGTGAATGGGTGTTGGGAGGATCACTGAGTGTCAAACCAGCTGAAAAACCCTTGATCAGCCAGTGATCTGTTGATCAGAACCATCTGCAGACACACAGAGCACATACAACACAGTTTAAGCTGACATTTTAGATCTGTTTAGGCAAAAAGGAGTGACATTAAATACCTCGTCTCCTGCCTGTTTCCACAGGTGCACCAGAGGAAGTCCATCTTGACTGCCAGTCACCTGAACACAAACAACATCATTCACGTTTATACAGAAGCAAACTTTATTTTGTAAAGCTGTAGTTTGGTTTAATTAAAAGCTAGTAACTGTTAAGGGATATTTACATCATTGTTTACTCACCCTTGCCTTGTTTTAAACCAGTTTGAGTTTCTTCTTCTGTGAACACAAAAGATCTGTGAACACAAAAGATACTTTGAAGAATGTTAGAAAGTTGTAAACACTGACTTCCATAGTAGGAAAAGCAAATACTGTAGAAGTCAGAAGTTACAGGTTTACAATATTCTTCAAAATATCTTCTTTTGAAAAAAAAAAAACTCAAACAACTTTAAAACAAGTCAAGATTGAGTAAATGATGGCAGAATTACATTTTTTAGAAGAACTATCTTTTTAACACTTAAATTGCATTTGAAGAGACGTGCATAAACATTTTTAATAAAAACATACATTTTAGTAAGAGAATCATTCTTAATAACCCATTAATAATTATTTTATAATAATATTTGAAGATATAATCGTGTAAAATTATACATAAATATTTTAGAGTAACATGTTGTTTTGATAGTGCTTTCGCCTCACAGCAAGAAGGTCGCTGGTTCGAGTCTTGGCTCAGTTGGCATTTCTGTGTGGAGTTTGCAAGTTCTCCCTGCAATTCGATGGGTTTCCTCCGGGTGCTCCGGTTTCCCCCACAGTCCAAAGCGGTATGCGGTACAGGTGAATTGGGTAGGCTAAATTGTCCGGAGTGTGTGTGTGTGTGTGTGTGTGTGAATGTATGTGTGGATGTTTCCCAGAGATGTGTTGCGGCTGGAAGGGCATCCGCTGCGTAACAACGTGCTGGATAAGTTGGCGGTTCATTCCGCTGTGGCGACCCCAGATTAATAAAGGGACTAAAGCGACAAGAAAATGAATGAATGAATTAATGTTGTTTTAATGATGCTTGGTTACACATCATATATATATATATATATATACACACACACACACACATATGTATATGATGTATACCAAATGGGTCAATGATGATGGTAATAATAATAAAAATAATAATAATAAAACAACAACAACAATTCTAAATGCAGCATTACCATAAATGAAAAAGTAAAACTTAGCAATTCTTTCCACATTCACTTATTAATTAAAAGTTATAAAAGAGAATAAGTGGTTTTAGCTGAAAGTTTTTATGTAATTAAACATTTTTGTGAGAGACTGGGGGTTATTTAAATGTACAAATGTTTACAATTTAATGTTGGTTCAATTGTACGGTTTGTGACCAGTCACATATATGAACATGTTTCCAGAAAACAGAACCATTAAGAACAAAGTTAAGATTTTGAAAAAAATTTGTTATTAAGAATTAAAGTTTTAGATATATACAAAATATTTCCTTAGCCCACAAAACATACTTAGAATGCAAGTATAAAGTACAAACCACAGTGGAATTTACTACAAACAACAATAATTCAGTAAATCTGCCTAAACACATCATCAAACTGAAACTAGTAGGATGTGTAAATTTGTATACAAAATTTTCTCCCATTAGAATACAACCAAAATGTGTAGCTCTTATGCTTGCTTGACTTAATTGCAATAGTTATTGGCTTTTAAATGAAAAGTTACAACTTGTTTTAATTAGAAAAAAACTGACTTGTATTTTAAGAAATATGGTAGAGAAGTATTACTGAACTATTAAAGACATCAGAAACAGCAGGGTTCTCATACAAGATTCAAGGATCTTCAAGGGCGTTTTAAAGCACCATTAATTTTAAATGAAGCACCTTTGTAAAGTCCTTACTGTACTTAACATTTCACCTACACTTAATATTTACGTTAAAATGTAATTTTCAAAGAACTTTAATAAAATTTGTTGAATTCAGTACTTGCAATATTCAAATGCTATTTCTGGAATAAGTGAAAATGTGCATTATTTTTTAAGTTTATCGTACAAGATGTAAATGTACCATTATTAATTTAAGAATTTCTCAGTTTTTTTTGTTCTGTTTTTGACAATGGAGTACAAATGTTAAAATAAAACCATAAACAAATGTTATTTAATTCAATTTAATTCAAGCATTTCAAGGACCTGTGTTTATGTACTTTTCAGGCCTTTAAAGTACTTTCAAGAAGCGTAGGAACCATGTCAGCAGACAAAGCATTCTGAGAAATCCTAGTCTCCTGAAATGATGCATTAAAGTGGAAATAATCTAGATCCACAATATCAGAAAACAACCAACAGAAACTTGTTTGTGTGTTATAACCTTTAGAATTAGGGCCACATTAGCAGTTGATTCCTCCAGTGCTTCTTTGGCTTCCAGAGAAAACTCCTCATCACCTAGCAATGTACAAAAGTATTTATTTATTTTAATCTACCAGATATTTATGAGCAGAAAAAGCACTGCAAAGTGAATTTTAAATCAGAAATAGGCCTATGTTTACCTGGCAAAGGCATGATATTGTCCAGCAGAACCTCTGCAGCCTGGAAAGGTAACGTCACAAAGTCTGACCTGTGAAAACAGACTTAAAATATTAGATTTAATTCATAAAAATAAAAACAGTCAACGATGAAGAGCACAGGACCTGATCTGCCTGAGGGTGGTGCTGTTCACGGTGTCGTATCCTCCGCTATCTACATATCTGATATGAGTGGTGCCAGTCTCTCCATCATACTGAATGACCTGTGCTCTCTGCCAGCCACTTCCTGTTACCGGAGCGGCACAGACCACACCCACTGAAATAGACACGCACGCACGCACGCACGCACGCACACACACACACAAGCACACAGTTATAAACTAGATGACTAGTAAATTTCTATAGATAATCAAATCTTCAAGTAATGCCATCTACTGTATATAAGCCACTAAAAAAATACATAAGAATATTTATTTATTATCAAAAACATTTATTAGATCAAGTGTCAATGGCAACATTTATTATTAGAATAATATTTTTGTAATCAATTACATATAATATTTAGTTAATTATTTGCTAATTAATTTTTTATAGAATCTGCAACTAAATTGTTTGTTAAATATGTTTATAGAACATTTACTGCAGCTCTTAACCAACATGTTTCAAACTTTTTGCAAAAAATAAAAAATAAAATTCACAGACACATACCGTTTTGAAACGGTAATACATTTTCATTTTAGGTGAACTTTCCCTTTAATTTAAATTTTATTTTTAAGTACTGGGTCTAACATATGACAAAATTAACTTCTTATTGATTTTTAGACAACAGTTTAATAAATAAGAACTGTGCACAACATTCAGGGCAAAAATAAAAAAAGGGGGGTGTTAACAGCATAAAAAAATCTATCTATTATTATATCATCAATTTAAAGGGATCATCATGTTTAATGCCATGTGAGCAACAATTACTCTTTTAATGGCAAAAACATTTCATTAATATACAATTAAAAACAACAAACAAATAAATACATAAAATAGATTTTTACATGTTAATACACGATACAAACTCTACAATTTTTCTGGAGACCAATTTAAAGGAATAGTTCACCCAAAATTGAAAATTGTCATTTTATTCACTCTTCTCGTATTCAACACATTGAGTTTCCTTCTTCTTTTGAACACAAAATTATTACACATAGTATTTACTTCCTACAACAGTATGAAAGTAGTAGGAACTTATGGAGTCAATGAAAGGTCATATATACTTGTAAAATAAATTTTGCAAACAATAAACTAAATATTTAGCAAAAATAAACAAATGCAAAAAATAAATAAATGTAAATTTTTTATATATATATATATATATATATATATATATATCCTCCTGAGTTTGAGAAACGCTTCCCCGCATGAACATTCCACCCCGCTCCCGCACCTCCTCAGTTTGTATACGCTTCCCTGTATTGTCGCTCCACTCCGCCCCCGTTCCCCGCTCTTCAGTTTGTGATCACTCCTCAGTTCCTCGCGTCGTCGCTCCACTGACTCCATCGACCTCCACAGATAGCCTAATTTTGTTTAAAAAAATTTCTTATGTAACAAATTTCATTCGTTATAATTTGTATCTTTACTTTAATATATTTTTTGTTGGTCAGTTATCTACAAAATAAACTAAAAGAATGAATAAACTTTAGGTGAAGTGAGGAGCAAATAATACTTTTTGGCCTTAAGGGAATTATGAATTAAATTCAGGTAGGCCTATTATAACCTAAAATTTACTATTTCTGACAATTTTGTTTATAATTCGAGTTATGAATTACAGTATCGCAATACTTTTTGGCATCATAATACTTCAGCTGGTATAGTATTGTAAGATTAATTAATGGTATCGTGACAACCCATATATGTATGTATGTATGTGTGTGTGTATGTGTGTGTGTGTATATATATATATATATATATATATATATATATATATATATATATATATATACACACACACACACACACACACACACACAAATGAAATTTGTTATAAAAGAAATTTTTTTTAAACAAAATTAGGCTATCAGTGGAGGTCGATGGAGAAATTGAGGTAATTTTCATTTTTGTTTGAACTATTCCTTTAAATTAATAGCCATAATTTACAACATATGTAAAGAAATACACGCATTTAGATTGATTTGAATTTAGTTGAGCTCCAACCCTAAGCAAACACACCTTCATATAGATTTCTAGTGATCTTAAAGACACTGATTAGCTTGTTCAGGTGTGTTTGATTAGGGTTGGAGCTAAACTCTGCAGGACAGTGGCCTTCCAGAACTGAAGTTGCATATCCCTAAATTAGATGATTGCTGATTTTAGTAGGTTTGTTTGTTGATTTACCTTCAACAGGAGTGGGCAGGCTAGGACACCCCGGCTGAGAGTAGCAGAGCTGCATGGCCTGTATGAGTGTGGGAAGCACCTGGTGAGATGGATGACTGTGCTGATGAACGAACAGATGATGAGCCGCCTCCACCCGCGACACCATCACCTCCACAAACACATCCTGAGGAAGCAGCAGCTACAGACACAGACACGCACACACCTCTTACAAACAACCTCTCACAACCAGACATACATTGTTATGTGCCATCTTGTCAGGATATTCAGTGTCAATGTTGTCAATCTTGCTGTGGTGCGTCTTTTAAATAATAGTTCACCCAAAACTCTCCTCTCCATTTACTCATACTCAAGGGTTTCTATACGAAACATTCCTCTGTAAAACAGGAAGATAGACTGAAGAATATTATGCAACATGGAAGTCAACGGCTGTTTTTTTCCGAGTTTCAGTATCTTCGTTTGTGTGGTGCAACTGGAAAAAATAATAACAGAATTTGTATTTTTGAGTGAACTATCCCTTTAAGGCCCTAATATACTTGCAGCAAAGTTCTTTTTTTGGTAGGTCATGGTTGAAATTGGTGATGTCAGTCTTTCCACTTGAGATCATACATTTGAAGGTAATTTTTTCATATCGATTGCAGCATTCACAATAAGTTAGTTTAGTGAGCAATACAACATATGCATCCTATCCTCCTCTGTTGCAAACATTTAGCAATAGTACAATGTTCAAAATACATGTTAAAATGTTAAGGCTACTGGCTGTTCATGCTCCAGGCTTTCCCAAACACACTTGGGATAATTTTCTGAGGCTGTGGATTAACATAGGGTCTATGCAGAAATTCTAAAGGTACCTTTTTTAAGACCTCATTGCCACTTTAAAGTTCAAATCAGTACCAAGCCTTTAACTTAATAAACAGTTGTTAATAAAGAGTTGTGGTTAAATAAATCAATGGAGCACAACCATGCAACAGCACTCAGATAAGCTGGAAAGAAACAAAGCTTTAATGAATAAATTACGCGGTTGTTTTTAGGCTTCAGACACTGTTTAAACTCGTCTTTTTCCAACTAGGAGTACTCAAAACTTACATTTTCCAGTCTGTTTCGCTCTATGGTTTCGCTTCATGTGGAGAGCGTTACATCACCTTCCCACATTTGTCGCAAATTACGTGACATCACGTTGTTAATATTAGGAGTAAAATTTATATATATTTAGATATATTTATGCTGTTTTAAAGTCAAACACGCTTGAACAAAATTTAAGACCTCGTAAAAATGTTATTAATACTTTTTAATACCTTTTAAGAGCCTTAATTTTCAACTTTTAATACTTTTTAAGACCCCACAGACACCCTGTAACAGTAATGTTGTAAAACATGTTTAGATCTTTTTTTACAAACTATGATTTAGCTTCAAAAGATCTCAATGTATCATCAGATGCCATGGGTATTAAATTTGCTTAGCCTGTACACGTTCACTATATAAATCACCCCTAAATTTCAATTTCCAAAAGTTGACACTAATAGACAATGTTTTTGTTGTCCAGGGTCACAAATAAAAGCACTTTTATTATGCATCCAGATTAATTGACATTCGCAAAAAATCCTCACCCAGGATGTGATGGGCAGGCAGGGCAGAGGAGCACAATTACTCAGATCCAGATCTTTGAACTTCTTCCTGACAAGAGAGAGAGCTTCATCCACCTGCTGTTGTGAGCCTGGATCAACACAAACAAATGTGAATTCAGCACTGAGTTTTAGCAAAGAGTCAAATACAATCATCATCATGGGAAAACGCACCCTGAATGTGGCAGATTTGAATATCGTGAGTGAACGGCAGGGTGGAGACGTAGATCTTTGCTCCAGAGCTCTGCTTGAGGAAGTTCATAAACTTTCCCTGCTTCCCGATCAATCGACCAACAAGATGCTGGAGAGACAGGACTTGGTTTAAACCTTCAAATAACAATATTCTACCTCATAATAAGTTTAAAAAAAAAAAAAAAAAAAGGTCATTCTCTCACTTATAGAAGTCATGTTACTCTTTTTATATCTAAAACAATCCTCAACATCTTTATATGTTGTAGTGTAGTGAGTCTTGCACTTCAAGATCATACATTTTTATAGCTGTGCAGCATCTCTGAACACATTCAAACACAAGTCTATTGTGTTTAAAAATTATTAGTGTGGCGACGCAGTGGCTACAAGGTTAGCGATGTCACCTCACAGCAAGAAGGTTGCTGGTTCAAGCCTTGGCAGGGTCAGTTAGCATTTCTGTGTGGAGTTTGCATGTTCTCCCAGTGTTGGCATGGGTTTCCGCAGAGTGCTCCCTGTGTTGGCATGGGTTTCCTCTGGGTTTCCCTAACAGTCCAAAGAGGTGAATTGGGTAAGCTAAATTGTCCGTAGTGTATGTGTGTAAATGAGAGTGTATGGGTTTTCCAGTGATGGGTTACAGCTAGAAGGGCATCCACTGTGTAAGTTGGTGGTTCATTCTACTGTGGCGACCACAGAATAATAAAGGGACTAAGCCAAAAAGGAAATGAATAATTAGTGTGCGTGTGTGTCTGTGGGCAGGGCTCACCGTTGGCACTTCTATGTCCCACTGGATGATGGGCGGGGAAGGAGGAGGAGCCAAGCTGCTCATTTGAGTATCAGCAACAATGCAGCTTTCAACACCTGAACCTGGAGACAGTGTCAATGTGAATGCAGCACACATTTTGTTAGTGCTTTGTGACTGAATCCTCTCTCTGATTGAAAATGGCTCGTAATTAACTGTTTAAATAAATGTTAATACAGCATTTCTACTCAAACTTAGTAGGCATGCGTTTCTCTTTGCAATATATCCAAAAACATAATCCATAAAAACAAAACAAAAATACATGCAGTGGCCAATATTCTAACAGATCTAAAAATATTGCCTCCAAAACATGATTTTATTTTTTATGATTAAGTTTTAAATCAAATGAAGCGAGTTGAACCAGATGAGTTGTATCAGATGAGGTGACTTTTCATTCACTTTTAGCTATAACCGTCACGTTCTGCTTTAGCAAGAAGGTCACTGGTTCGAGTTCCAACTGGGTCAGTTGGCATTCCTGTGTTGAGTTTGCATGTTCTCCCCATGTTGGCGTGGGTTTCCTCAGCGTGCTCCGGTTTCCCCCACAGTCCAAAGACATGCGCTATAGGTCAATGATTTAAATTGGCCACTGTATGTGCGTATGGGTGTTTCTCAGTAATGGGTTGCGGCTGTTGCGTAAAACAAATGCTGGAATAGTTGGCGGTTCATTCTGCTGTGGTGGACCCTAATAAATAAGGGACTAAGCTGAAAGAAAATGAAGAGATGAATGAATCTCCACCTTTTGCAGCAATAGTAGCAGTAAATCTCTCCTTCAGAGTATGAATGCATTCCCTGAGATCTTGAACAGTTATGTTATCTCATGCCTTCTGCAACTGAAGACAAAGGTTTGTTTCTGTGACATTGACAGAAAAATATGCCTAGCTTGTCTCCCTATGATGGCTCTATTATATGTCTTATATAACATATTGATGACTTTAAAAGGTATTAAATTACCCAATAATAAAAAAACAATGCTCTTAAGTAGGGATGCTCCAATCATGACTTTAGCAGCCAATACAGAGTATCGACTCTTTGTCTTGGTGATCGTCTGATACCGATACCAGTTCTAATTCTTCAGCCTTGTACTGTATTCATTTAGCACATTTTCCCTCCAAGTATGATACTCAAGTAAGGATCCTGCCTTAGCTAAGAGAATAAATCAAGGATGCTGCATATAATACCTTAAACACATCTTTTTTTAACAATTTAGTGTGGACATGTCATGGCCAGAAGCAACATTATAGAAAATAATACACACAGGTAAGAAAAATTACAAACAATGCAATTCAGCAACATTGCAAATGACAAAAAAAAAAAAGAATTCAACATGTCTTAATCAAGAAAAAGTTTGCACATTTGATGCATAAGAAGTTAAAATACGCACCTATAAATCCATTACTTCTTTACTGAAATTTACTAAGACTGGCGAGTACTGATCGAGTCAATAAATATGATTATCGGTCGATACCGATCTTAAATCTGTGTAAACCAGAAGTTTCTGAGACTTATTTCAGTATGTTATTGTACTTCCAGGTGAAATGGGATATTGAGTAGGAGGTGGGTCTTTCTTTTTGCACATCATAACCTCAATGCAAAATAACAGTAAGAGGGGCGTGGTTAAGAATATTGTGGCTGCAGCATCAAACTGACATCAACAGAGAAAAACCACAACTCCAAATGCCGAAGCAAATGCTCAGATTTTGATTGAAATTTACCAAAACAAACTTTTTTTTTATTTTCAGTGAATTAATAATTAGTGAATTAATTCCCTTTTTTGAAAAAAAGTTTTAATATACATACAAACGTACCATGCCAGGCCTCCTCCTCTCCCTCTCCGAGAATGCTGGGAATCATTTTGCCGTCTATGCTGGTTGTGTCTGATTCTGTCATTAAAAAGCTTTGTTCCTCCTCTGAGATCTCACAGGTCAGTCCCTCCGAACCGGAAACATCCTCTGAGAAGCTGGAATTACATCCAGAATCATCTCCAACAGAAGCTCCTAAATCACTGAGCAGTTTTTTCCTGAATGAGCCGGTTTCTCTGTCGTTGTCATCGCCACTGATGCTTTGATGCTGAACTAGATCT